GTCTTTAAAAAAAATTTTTTTTAAATCATATACCCATATTTAAACTGAAAATCCTAGGACTTTTACAAACTAAACCTGGATGTTTTACTCTTTTTTTGTTTTTTTGAGACAGAGTCTCACTTTGTTGCCCAGGCTAGAGTGAGTGCCGTGGCATCAGCCTAGCTCACAGCAATCTCAAACTCCTGGGCTCAAGCGATCCTCCTGCCTCAGCCTCCTGAGTAGCTGGGACTACAGGCATGCGCCACCATGCCCGGCTAATTTTTTCTATATATATTAGTTGGCCAATTAATTTCTTTCTATTTATAGTAGAGACAGGGTGTCACTCTTGCTCAGGTTGGTTTCGAACTCCTGACCTGGAGCAATCCGCCCGCCTCGGCCTCCCAGAGAGCTAGGATTATAGGCGTGAGCCACCGAACCTGCCCCAGATGTTTTACTCTTTAGATAAATGATCTTTCAAGTTCATAAGCAGCACACAACCCTGAAAGAGAAAATGAAGGAGGCAGAAGATACATAATGAAATCCTTTCAAATCCTAGCACTCCTCTAATAAAAACGTAACAATGCACCCCAATAATGCAGCTTTCCCCTCAATAAGATTCTTTCCTCATCTCAGATTTTTTTTTTTTTTTTTTGAGACAGAGTCTTGCTTTGTTGCACAGGCTAGAGTGAGTGCCGTGGCGTCAGCCTCGCTCACAGCAACCTCAAACTCCTGGGCTCAAGCAATCCTGCTGCCTCAGCCTCCCGAGTAGCTGGGACTACAGGCATGCGCCACCACGCCCGGCTAATTTTATATATATATATTAGTTGGCCAATTAATTTCTTTCTATTTATAGTAGAGACGGGGTCTTGCTCTTGCTCAGGCTGGTTTCGAACTCCTGACCTCAAGCAATCCGCCCGCCTCGGCCTCCCAGAGTGCTAGGATTACAGGCTTGAGCCACCGCGCCCGGCCTTATCTCAGATTTTTTTAAGCCAGTCAAATTTAGCAGTGGGGGGCCATATACCAACTTTAGTGACACTAGTGCTAATAACTTCTGATAACCCATTACCACCAGATCAGCCCCAGATTATTTCTTAAAAGCCCTAAAAATGTAAATTCAGAAGTCTACTTATTGATATACTACTTTATGTGGTAAATATTAGACACCACTTGTTATTCCCAGATACAGAGCAATCCAGGGGGCCAAGTCCTCTCATCTAAAATGATGACAAACCAATGAGAAGTCCACTCATGTGTTGAATTACATAACCACAGCTGCAACAAATGGCTTCATAAAAAAAGATGACTAGAGATAACTAATGCAAGAGCAATGTAAATTAAATGTCTGAAAATCATCCAAAACAGAATCAAGGAATGACCTCACCAAACATCCCTACCCCCTACCCTACTCCACCCCAGGCAAAGAGAAAATTCTATGATCCTGGAAGTATTGGGAGGTGAGGGGACATATACAGAAAATAGTAAATTGCAGTAAATCAGTAATAGTTCAAAATAATACCTCATAACACATTCAATGATCAATAATCAATGAGACAATAATACTTTTTATTTGGTATTGATTTTGTGACTTTGTTCAACAAAACTTTCAATGGAAGTAGTAAAAGTATATTAGAGCTGTTTTCACAGAGCTGCTCATCTTAGAATGCAAATCAACTCTGTGTCAGAGCCAACATAGCTCCCTTGGGCTGTATTTTAGCTAATAACAGCCACAAGATTTCCAAGAACTGAGAACGAGGGTAGCACAACTGGCCTCTGCAACATATCTAAGACAAGTACTATTTGGCTCCTGATCTCCAAGCAATTCATAGCCACCAAGAAGCAGCTGCAAACACATTTCCAGATGCTTTACAGACTGGCAGTAAAAGATACAACCATTTTTCCTTTCAAGGCCTAGGAATCTATAATACAGAAGGAGAAGAAAATATTGAGAAGTTAAAAACAAACTTGAAATTACAATGCTTTAATATCTTCAAAAATGATGCCACACAAATCGAAGGCAGATGATTGATACATCTGTTTTCAAAGCCTGAGTTAATTTTCCATTTCACCAAAAACATTAACAGATTCCTGGATTTAGATAGTGAAATGAATGCAGAGAGTAGCTCAATGTTCATAATTAGTATTTCCTCCCCACCCACACATCGCAGGAACTGGTGGGTTTAGAGATATTGGCTAAAACATTGGAGTCACGCAAGACCAAAGTTATTACCATCAACCAGCATTTAACACTAGAGAAGAGGGGAGTTAATCAGATGAAAGACACACTATTGTAATTTAGAAATCCAGACCAAAGCTAGACAGAACCACAACAGAATCTGAATAAAAAAGTAATATTAGGGAGGCTGGGCATGGTCGCTCATGCCTGTAATCCTAGCACTCTGAGAGGCCGAGGTGGGCAGACTGCTTCAGGTCAGGAGTTCGAAACCAGCCTGAGCAAGAGCAAGACCCCCCATCTCTACTAAAAATAGAAAGAAATTAATTGGCCAACTAATATATATAGAAAAAATCGGCCGGGTGTGGTGGCTCACGCCTGTAATCCTAGCTCTCTGGGAGGCGGAGGCGGGTGGATTGCTCGAGGTCAGGAGTTCAAAACCAGCCTGAGCAAGAGCGAGACCCCGTCTCTACTATAAATAGAAAGAAATTAATTGGCCAACTAATATATATACAAAAAATTAGCCGGGCATGGTGGCGAATGCCTGTAGTCCCAGCTACTTGGGAGGCTGAGGCAGGAGGATTGCTTGAGCCAGGAGTTTGAGGTTGCTGTGAGCTAGGCTGACGCCATGGCACTCACTCTAGCCTGGGGAACAAAGCGAGACTCTGTCTCAAAAAAGAAAAAAGAAAAAATCAGCCAGACATGGTGGCGCATGCCTGTAGTCCCAGCTACTCAGGAGGCTGAGGCAGTAGGATTGCTTGAGCCCAGGAGTTTGAGGTTGCTGTGAGCTAGGCTGACATCATAGCACTCACTCTAGCCTGGGCAACAAAGTGAGACTCTGTCTCCAAAAAAAAAAAAAAGTATATTAGGGGAAGCCTAAGGATTTTGTGATGGAGATGTAAGATGCCATTAATGGTTTGGAAAGATCAATCTATAGCAGAGTTTTCAAACTTGCCTGAAAATAAGACACATTTAAGGAATTTGTTTAAAAACAGGCCGGGCATGGTGGCTCACACCTATAATCCTAGCACTCTGGGAGGCCCGGGCGGATTGCTTGAGGTCAGGAGTTCGAAACCAGCCTGAGCAAGAGCAAGACCCCCTTTCTACTATAAATAGAAAGAAATTAGCCAAAACAACTAAAAATAAAAAAAATTAGCCAGGCATGGTGGTACATGCCCGTAGTCCCAGCTACCTGGGAGGCTGGAGCAGTAGGATTGAGGATTGCTTAAGCCCAGGAGTTTGAGGCTGCTGTGAGCTAGGCTGATGCCACGGCACTCTAGCCCGGGCAACAGAGACTCTGTCTCAAAAAAAACAAAACAACAAAAAACACACAAACAAGATCCTAGGCCCTAATCAAGACCTACTAATATCACTATTCTACAAGAATGATCTGGTAATCTGTACACGCAACAAATACCTTATGTGATTCTTGGTGTTAGGGGAGTCTGGAACACTATTCTACTAGTAATCAACTGCACAGACACTATGGTTTCTGAATAGGTATCCTCAAGTTAAAGCTGCTGACATATTTGTTAAACAGGATAGATTACATACATTAATCAATATTCCCTCATAAAACACCATTAAAATTACAGCAAAGGGATTTAAAAAAATAAATAAATAAACCTAGCCAAACATGATGGCTCATGCCTGTAATCCCACACTTTGGAAGGTTAAGGCAGGAGGATCATTTGAGGCCAGTTCAAGATCAGCCTGGGCAATGCAGCAAGATCCCGTCGCTACAAAAAATAGAAAATAAAAAATTAGTGGGGTGTGGTGGCGTGTGCCTGTAGTCCTGGTGACTCAGGAGGCAAAGGGAGGAGGATTGCTTGAGCCCAGAAGTCTGAGGCCGCAGTAAGCTATAATGGTGCCACTGCACTCTAGCCTGAGTGACAGAGTGAGATCTTGTCTAAAAAAAAAAAAAAAAGATGTCCTAGCACTCTGGGAGGCGGGAGGATTGCTCAAGGTCAGGAGTTCAAAACCACCCTGAGCAAGAGCGAGACCCCGTCTCTACTAAAAATAGAAAGAAATCAATTGGTCAACTAATATATATAGATAAAATTAGCCGGGCATGGTGGCGCATGCCTGTAGTCCCAGCTACTCGGGAGGCTGAGGCAGGAGGATTGCTTGAGCCCAGGAGTTTGAGGTTGCTGTGAGCTAGGCTGACGCCATGGCACTCACTCTAGCCTAGGCAACAAAGCGAGACTCTGTCTCAAAAAAAAATGAACCTGCCGGACACGGTGGCGCGCGCCTGTAGTCCCAGCTACTCGGGAGGCTGAGATGGGAGGATCGCTTGAGCCCAGGAGTTCTGGGCTGTAGTGCGCTATGCCGATCGGGTGTCCGCACTAAGTTCGGCATCAATATGGTGACCTCCCGGGAGCGGGGGACCACCAGGTTGCCTAAGGAGGGGTGAACCGGCCCAGGTCGGAAACGGAGCAGGTCAAAACTCCCGTGCTGATCAGTAGTGAGATCGCGCCTGTGAATAGCCACTGCATTCCAGCCTGGGCAACATAGCGAGACCCCGTCTCTTAAAAAAAAAATAAATAAATAAAAATAAAAAAATGAACCTAAAAAAAAAAAAAGAAATAAAATGGGAAAGGAGAGAGAAAGAGAGATGTCAAGAAAGTTTTAGAAGCTGGAAAGTAGATGTACTAGTGATAAATAACTTTGCAGAAAGTAAAAAACTAAACACTTGCAGTGGAAAGAAGCAAGTAGATTCCCACCACAAAAATTCAGAAAAGGCTCAGAAATCAGGGGCACCTGGTACCCTGGGAATGGGGGGTGGGGGTATAGGAGAGGCTAAACAGGAGGACTGGTTTAAAGTCTGTATAAAAAATAGTTTCCTACATACCTCTCTCCATGCTGCCAGGTAGATTACAAAAGTTGAACCACAGAGCCTCTGAACCAAGGAACCAGTCACAGCCAAGGGCAGGAGTGCCACACTGAAAATGCGGGGGAAGGAGGTCAAGTGAAAGTCTAAAGACTCAACAGCAAGACCTCTCCTCCTCCCTCCTCACCTCTCTTCTCCCACTTGGTTCCAAAACACTAGCAACCAGACTTACACTCAAACACCTGCCACTGGCTTATACTCTCTAGAAGGGGACTGGAGGGGTCCTCTGACTTGCCTGCTAGTTCACCCTGAAGTGGTGCCCATCACTTGATGAGCTTTTTAGTGCCTCATCCTTAAAAGTGAACAGATAGCTAAGAATGATCAGACATTTGAAGAAACTCTCTAACATGAAAAACAGGAATCAAAGTAAACAAACAAAACAGAATTCCTGACAAGATGCAAAATATATATATATAATTGAGAGAATAAAAAGAACTTTTGGAGCTAGGTGCAGTGGCTCATGCCTGTCCTAGCACTCTGGGAGGCCGAGGTGGGAGAATCACTGGAGCTCAGAAGTTCGAGACCAGCCTGAACAAGAGCGAGAGCTCGTTTCTACTATAAATAGAAAGAAATTAGCCAAAATAACTAAAAATAAAAAAATTAGCCAGGCATGGTGGTGCATGCCTGTAGTTCTTCTAGCTACCCGGGAGGCTGAGGCAGGAAGATCGCTTGAGCCCAGGAGCTTGAGGTGGCTGTGAGATAGGCAGGTGCCACAGCACTCTAGCCTAGGCAAGAGAGTGAGACTCTGGCTCAAAAAAAAAAAAAAAAAAAAAGCCGGGCGTGTGGCTCACGCCTGTAATCCTAGCACTTTGGAGGCTGAGGAGGGCGGATTGCTCAAGGTCAGGAGTTCGAAACCAGCCTGACGAGACCCCGTCTCTACCAAAAATAGAAATAAATTAATTGACCAACTAAAATATATATACAAAAAATTAGCCGGGCGATGTGGCGCATGCCTGTAGTCCAGCTACTCGGGAGGCTGACGCAGTAGGATCGCTGAGCCCCAGAGATTGAGGTTGCTGTGAGCCAGGCTAATGCACGGCACTCAACTCTAGCCTGGGGCCCAACAAAAGTGAGACTCTGTCTCAAAAAAAAAAAAAAAAAAAAGAGCTTTGGGGCTGGTGCAGTGGCTCATGGCTATAATCCTAGCATTTTGGGAAGGTGAGTTGGAGGACTGCTTGAGGCCAGGAATTCAAGACCAGCCTGGGCAAAAGCAAGATCCCATCTCTACAAAAAAATTTAAAAATTAGCTGGGTGTGGTGATAGACTCCTGCAGTCCTAGCTACTTGGGAGGCTGAAGCAAGAGGTTCACTTGAGCCTAGGAGTATGAGTTTGCAATGAGCTATGATGACATCATTACACTCTAGCCTAGGCAACAGAACAAGACCCAGTTTCAAAAAAATAAATAAATAAAAAGAGGCTGGCGCTGTGGCTCACACCTGTAATCCTAGCACTCTGGGAGGCCGAGAGGGTGGATTGCTCAAGATCAGGAGTTCTAAAACAGCCTGAGCAAGAGGGAGACCCCGTCTCTACTATAAATAGAAAGAAATTAACTGGCCAACTAATATATATAGAGAAAAAAAATTAGCTGGGCATGGTGGCGCATGCCTGTAGTCCCAGCTACTCGGGAGGCTGAGGCAGCAGGATTGCTTGAGCCCAGGAGACTGAGGTTGCTGTGAGCTAGGCTGACACCATGGCACTCGCTCTAGCCTGGGCAACAAAGCAAGACTTTTTGAGACTCTGTCTCAAAAAAAAATAAAAATAAAAAATATAAATAAATAAAAAGAGCTCTTGGAGATTAATAAAAATTGATAACACAAATTAAAAATACAACAGAGAGTTCAAAGAAAAAGCTAAGGAACTAGAATGAAAAAAAAAGTAAAAAATTAAGAAAAAATTAAGAGGACCAATCTAGGAGTTTCACCATCTAGATAACAGGATTCCCAGAAAGGGAGAGAAGAGAAATAATTATCTAAGTGGGATTACATTATCAAGAAATAATACAGGGGGAGGGGGAGTGGGTATATACATACATAATGAGTGAGATGTGCACCATCTGGAGGATGGTCATGATGGAGACTCAGACTTGTGGGGGGGGGGAATGAGCATTTATTGAAACCTTAAAATCTGTACCCCCATAATATGCCGAAATAAAAAAAAATAAAATAAAAATAAAAATAAAAAAAGAAATAATACAAGAAAATTTCTCAGAAAACATGGAAATAGGCCAGGCCCGGTGGCTCACACCTGTCATCCTAGCACTCTGGGAGGCCGAGGTGGGCGGATGACTCAAGGTCAGAAGTTCGAAACCAGCCTGAGCAAGACACCATCTCTACTAAATATAGAAAGAAATTAATTGACCTACTAAAAATATATATACAAAAAATTAGGCAGGGCGAGGTGGCTCACGCCTGTAATCCTAGCACTCTGGGAGGCCGAGGTGGGAGGACTGCTCAAGGTCAGGGGTTCGAAACCACCCTGAGCAAGAGCAAGACCCCGTCTCTACTATAAATAGAAAGAAATTAACTGGCCAACTAATATATATAGAAAAAATTAGCCGGACATGGTAGCGCATGCCTGTAATTCCAGCTACTTGAGAAGCTGAGGCAGCAGGATCGCTTGAGCCCAGGAGTTTGAGGTTGCTGTGAGCTAGGCTGACGCCACGGCACTCACTCTAGCCTGGGCAACAAAGTGAGACTCTGTCTCCAAAAAAAAAAAAAAAAAGAAAGATACTATTTATTGAATTTGTGCTATGGAAGATGAAGATTTTGCATTTTTACATGGTCGCCTACCTTCAACATTTCCTACTATTCTAACACAGATACATCACAATCTTAAGTCAATATTTTGTATGTTTGGGTTTTATATGTCAGGTTTGAATTAGGAAAACAAATCATTCTTGGTATTTCAAAGAGGATATTAAATGCTCACAAAACCACTGGAAGTCTGGGAGAGCACAGGTCAGGGAAAGCCATGTTGCAGGGATTTCAGGAACTGTTGCTATTAATCTTAGCTGCCTTTAGTACCAAAGCAGGTGACTTTTAGGAGAATATTGGAAAACTGCTGGAAACCACATGTCTGCCATCTCTCTGAGGCCACACACCTGGTTATTGCTACTGAAAAACAGTAATGGCTTTTACCTTTCTTCCATTGTCCTAATCTTGAGTGAATGACTTGCATTGGTAGAATTTAAACCACAACCCCACTGACAAGAGGATTGTGGGAAATGTAGTTTCCAGGCCTCCAGCTTCCTCCAACCCTCAGGTGTGTCCAGAAGGAAGTAGAGGTGAATGTTACCAAAAGAAGAAAAAATTAGCACCCAGTATATTGTCTGTGTCATTATATTACATATTACATATGTATATTATGTACACATATACATATGTACTTCCTTGTATAAATTTTCCCTAGATATAATAATTGTCATTTTTTCTTTCCTTCCTTCCTTTTTATTTTTAGCTTGATTCATTGAATATCAATCACTAATTCATCCCTAAACTCTGACAGAAATATAAATCCCTTCTCAACACATTAGTGGAGCACCTCTTCCAGAGGCTTTATGTAAAGGGCCCAGTGCGGAGAGGGGCTTTTTTGAGGTCCTGCATGTCTGAATCTTCTCCTTTCTACTCTCACACTTGTTGGTAGCTTGACTAGATATAAAATTTATGTTGGAGGTCATATTTCTTTGGAAATTATAAACGCTTTATGGTCTTCTCACTTTCAGTAGTGCTATGAAGTTTGATGCTGTTGTGATTCTAGATTCTTTTTATGGGATCTGTTTTTTTCTCTGGAAGATCGTAGGATCTTTTTTCTGAAATGCAGCCATATTGTACCTTGGTGCAGCTATTTAAAAATTCATCATACTCAGCCTTTTCAGTCTGGAAGCTTATTTCCATGTTTCCATGTTTTCTTTTCTTTTTTTTTTTTTTTGACACAGAGTCTCACTTTGTTGCCCAGGCTAGAGTGAGTGCTGTGGTGTCAGCCTCGCTCACAGCAACCTCAATCTCCTGGGCTCAGGCAATCCTCCTACCTCAGCCTCCTGAGTAGCTGGGACTACAGGCATGTGCCACCATGCCCGGCTAATTTTTTTTTCTTGCTCAGGCTAGTTTCGAACTCCTGACCTTGAGTAATCCGTCTGCCTCAGCCTCCCAGAGTGCTAGGATTACAGGCGTGAGCCACCGTGCCAGGCCAATAAATAGTATCTTTGGGCCGGGCGCTGTGGCTCACGCCTGTAATCCTAGCTCTTGGGAGGCCGAGGCGGGCGGATTGCTCAAGGTCAGGAGTTCAAAACCAGCCTGAGCAAGAGCGAGACCCCGTCTCTACTATAAATAGAAAGAAATTAATTGGCCAACTGATATATAATAAAAAATTAGCCGGGCATGGTGGCGCATGCCTGTAGTCCCAGCTACTCGGGAGGCTGAGGCAGGAGGATCGCTTGAGCCCAGGAGTTTAAGGTTGCTGTGAGCTAGGCTGACGCCACGGCACTCACTCTGGCCTGGACAACAAAGCGAGACTCTGTCTAAAAAAAAAAAAAAAATATATAGTATCTTTGAATGGAAAAAATCAGCTGGGTACAGTGGCTCATGCCTGTATCCCAGTACTTTGGGAAGCTGAGATGGAAGGACTGCTCGAGGCCAGCAGCTTGCGACCAAGCTGGGCAACACTATGAGACCCCTGTCTCTACTAAAAAAAAAAAAATTAGGCAGGTGTGGTGATGTGTGCCTGTAGTCCCAGCTACTTCGAAGGCTAAGGCAGGAGGATCAATAGAGCTGAGGAGTCTAGCTTGGGGATATAACAACAACAACAACAAAATACACACACACACACACACACACACACACACACACACACACATATATATGAATATTATGTAGAAATACGGATAATATACATCAGAAAAAAATACTGCAAGTATTAAAAGTAGTTGAAGACAGGCCGGGCATGGTGGCTCACGCCTGTAATCCTGGGAAGCAGAGACGGGCAGATCACTCAAGGTCAGGAGCTGGAAACTAGCCTGAGCAAGAGCAAGACCCTGTCTCTACTATAAACAGAAAGAAATTAATTGGCCAAGTAAAAATATATATAGAAAAAAATTAGCCAGGCATGATGCCACATGCCTGTAGTCCCAGCTACTCGGGAGGCTGAGGCAGCAGGATTGCTTGAGCCAAGAAGTTTTGCAGTTGCTGTGAGCTAGGCTGACGCCACGGCACTCTACCCCGTGCAACAGAGTGAAACTCTGTCTTGAAAAAAAAAAAGTAATTGAGAACAAACAAGGAGAAATGGAGAATGGAGTAACTGGGTTTTTTTTTTTTTTAATTATAAGCCTTGTAGTATTATTTGACTATGTATTCTTACTATTTTGACAAAAAGCAAACATTTAATTACTAAAAAACAAAAAATCCTAACACTGTATAAGCAAAACCACCATATAGGCAGACTAAGAAAAATTTCAAAAAATAAAGTCAATACTGGATCTGTTACCAACGCAGGTAAGGAGAATAGAAAATCCCACACAAACCAAAACAAATTAAAAGGCATTATGCCCAATTCTAAAACCTGTGTCTGGACTCAACTCTAACGGAAGCAGGCTGGCTGATGTGACCTGAATCTCTGTCACAGACTGTGAGTATAAACACACAGTGATCACCAACCCCAGAGCTTACTCTAACAGAAGCCAAATATGTGAGCAACTTTCAGGCCACTGTAAGAAATCATAACCAAAATTAACTGCAAAGGTATGCACAAAAATAGAGGGTTGAATCTTAAAATCAACTGCCTTACTCTTTTTTAGGTATTGTTTTCAATTTAATGCAACTAACTTTGATCAAAACAAAAACAATCAACATCTGTTGTTAAAACATCTTTAGAAGTGCAAAGAAACTGTTAATTAGATTTAAAATGCTATTACAAGGCAGGCTGAAACCTAGTCACTGATGACCAAAAACAGCTCTTCTCACATTCTAAGCTAGCTGGATCTCATATTACCAGCTTCCAACCCCCATAAGCCAGCCTTCATTTGCACACCCCAGATATAAAAGTAGAAAAGCATAAACAGAGAACAGTCAGATGTAAGGAAAATCCAGTGATGACAATCTCCATTAAAAAAAGGCTTGAAAGCAGATGCTCCATAAAATGTTGATGCAGACTTCACATGGAGGGAAGTGTCATGCCTCATTTCAAAGATAACGTATGAATTCTCAACTCACCACAGATAATCTAATAACAAAGCTGTGACTTTCATTGTCGAGGAGTCTCTTCTTTCTCACTCTAATACCCTTAAGCCATAAGAAACACAGATGCTCCTTGCTGACATGCTAGAAAAATTTGCACATTTTCATTCCTTGATCACTAATGATAGGCTGCTAAGTCAAGAGTGTACTTTAAGTTATGAAAGCAGGGCAAGCTGATCCAATTACACAAGAAAGGTATTAAATCAAACAGGGCCATCTGGGTTTTAAGTACTGTGATTTCTGAACAAAAGTCAAGAGACTTACAGATAAAAATGCTTTTATATATTCAGAGGTTTAATGGCCCCAGATAAAAATGCTTTCATATATTCAATAATAATGGCCCTTGGGCTACTGATTCATTTGCATGTCCAATAAGACTTATGCATCCAAGTCTTACACAGTGCTAAGACACATTCGCCAGTTCAAAATAAGAACATCTGTGTTCTCTCCCTAGCCTCATGAGGATTATTAAAAAACAGTCAATATTCCCTAAAAGTAAATAGGTTTTCTGTTTCCTAAATAACAAGTCTGGAAAACTAACAATCCCATCATCCCCTATAATCTAAGAATTGCTCCCCAATAATCCTAACCTCCAAACCAAGTTCTAAACTAAGATTCTAAAATTTTGAGACCAAATCCAGTCAACTGAGTTTAATTTGTAGAACCTATAAGAAATCCAGTCTAAAAGAACAAGCTTTATCCAGGAAAGTTAAAAAAACATGTTCCACACCGCACATCAGATTTCTTCATACTTGGTTTCAACAACACTAGTAAATTAATACCTGTGTAAAAAACTGACAGAAAAAAAAATCTCAACTTTAGAGGTTGAGCTCAAAATTTGCTATGCTATTTATCTGTTTGGGGGGAAGCCCACACTCTCTAAAGCCTGGCCTCCTACCTTTCTGCTTCTTACTCCCTAAGCTCCGGTCACACTGGAACATCTTTCAATTCCTCCAATTTCTTTCCCTCCTCATGCCCTTCACCCTATGCCATTCCCTCTACCTAGAATAGTCTTTTGTCCTCCCCTCATCCTTTGGTTTCAGCCTTAAAAGTCAATTCCTCAGAAACCTTCCCTGACTGTCCTTGTCCCCAGTCAACCTTGGTCGTACTTTCCATTAGGTGACTCCACAGTATTTATACCAAGAGTAATTAATTATTTGTTTAATGGATGTCTTCCCCACTAGACCACAACTGCCATGAGGGCAAGGACTGAGTTAGCTTGTTCACTGCTGTATCTTCCAGCCCCCAGCACAGTGTTTAGCATGCAGCAGGAGCTTGAATATTCCTGTTGAATTAAATCAACAAGACACATCAAAAAAAAAAAAAAATGAACTTCAGCAATTCTACTTCTAAGAATTTCTCCTACAGATACAGTCACACATGCAGAAGGCCAAATATGTGTGGTTATACACTGGAGCATAGTTTGTAATAGCAAAGGACTGGAAACAGTTTACAAGTCTATCGGTACAGGGTAGGTGCCAAATATCATTATTGCTGGTAGGGAACAGCTGCTAAAATAGGTTTAAAAGCAAACAAAAAATGCAGAGATTATTAATATTATGCTACACTTGGTTTTTTTGAAAGCAAAAAAGGCCTTATCTTCCCGGTTTCTTCCTGGAGTCGGGAAAAGCTGGGTTGAGAGGCTGCAAAATAAATAAATAAAAATAAAAAAGCAAAATATATATATATTCACTTTATACGTACATGGTATCTCTGGAAAGGATCTTAAGAAAAAGTTAATATTACTTACCTCTGGGGAGATGAACTGGGTTGATGGGAAGACATAGGCAGATGTACCCGAGGGTATTCACTATCTACTTTTTTACCTTTTAAATTTTGTATTATCTATTTTAAAAATAAAATTTGCTAAAAACGGTCCTGTCCTGTTATTCCTACAACAGTGACAAAAAGAGTTTAAATATCTCATATCTGGATCTTAGTCAAATCTCCTGCCTGCTGGATGAGTGCTGGGAGAGTGGAAATGGAAAGAAGGAAAACTCACTTATTCACAAATCTCAGACATCTTACCACATACTAGATTGTACCACTTTAAAAGAAAATTCCATTTTTTGCAACCAACGGTCCCAATCTGAATACATATGGAGAATGTTTTCACCGTCATAAAGGATTATTGGGGGGGAAAAGGATTATTGAATTCAGCATTTCTCATTAGCATAGAAAATAGGTCGGTGAATCTGGGCCGGGCACGGTGGCTCACGCCTGTAATTCTAGCACTCTGGGAGGCTGAGACAGGAGGATCACTTGAGAGCAGGAGTTTGAAACCAGCCTGATCAAGAGGGAGACCCCCGTCTCTACTAAAAATAGAAAGAAATTAACTGACCAACAAAAAAATATATATACAAAAAATTAGCCTGGCACAGTGGCACATGCCTGTAGTCCCAGCTACTTGGGAGGCTGAGGCAGGAAGATCACTTGAGCATAGGAGATTGAAGTTGCTGTGAGTTAGGCAGACATCAAGGCACTCACTCTAGCCAGGGCAACAAAGTGAGAGACTGTCTCAAAAAAAAAAAAGGGAGGGAGGAGGAGGGGATGGGTATATACAACCACAACGAGTAAGATGTGCAACATTTGGGGGATGGACACGCTTGAAGCTCTTACTCGAGGGGGGAGGGGGGCATGAGCAATATATGTAACCTTAACACTTGTACCCCCATAATACACTAAAATTAAAAAAAAAAGTAGGTC